CCCCCCCCCCCCCCCCCCCCCCCCCGCTCCTCTACAATTTGCTATAATGTTAAATTGATACTAGTAGATTTGCCAAAACTAAAATTATCCGCAGTCTGTTATCCCCTATAATCCACGAATAGAATTAAGCAACGGATGAAAGCTACAACTACTGAAGGTGCGATTGTCACAGCAATCAGAGAAGTTTAAGCCGACTACGGCAAGTAGTGAAAGATTAAACTTGCTTAGTAGTAGCGAATATTTTGCTGTCCATTAATTTACCGCAAAAATGCATTTCTTGAAAACATAATCTTTCAAAAACTAACAAAAAAATCAAAACTAACATCATCTTTTTTGGACCGAAGAATATCGTATTTCTGCAGAAGTCGTTTCGCATTCTCCGCATTGTTTTCTCGCAATGAATCGATCAGTTCATTTCGTGCATTTTCTAATGATTTTGCGGGTTTCTCCTCCATTTGTCCTCAATAATTATTAAATCTGTACTAAAGGCATTTCATCATAGCTTTTTATAGATGCATGTTGTTTCAAAGATGGGAAATTTTCTACTGTACAATGTCCCAGGAGGCGATGATCTCTGCCCCAAATCCATTTTATCGCCAACAATGCCATCTACAAATCCCGGCCCAAACACTTCATATATCGAAAATATTACTTATTTGAATACTTCAGCAGCTGTATGTCATCGAAAATTAAAAAATGCCAGGCTTTTCTGAGGCTCAAAAACGAGTGATAATGAAGTACAGATTATGCAGCTATACAGCATAGCAGGTCATACGCTTACATTTGACGAGAATTTTATGATTCAAACACCAAGTGAATATACAGCAACAGTTCGATTAATATCAATATTTACAAATAAAATAAACCCCTAAATCCCCTTCCCCTTACCCCCTAATCATTAGAAGAACCAGAGGTATTTGCAAGTAGCCCGTTTGGTAGAAAATGCCAAAACAAGTTAGTCGTTGATAAATCTACCGATGGCCCCTTCTTCCGAAAAATGCTTATAAGCAGGAGATACTAAAATTTATTAATACCAACAAGCATCAAAAAGAGGAAGCTGTAGATGGACTGGATACCCTCTCGAAAGTTAGCATTTGAATGTCGCAACTTATTGAAATTTGCCGAAAAAAATCCTTCTCCCCCCAAAAAACCAGCCAAATTTTCCCGCGGACTTTAAAGAAATTTTACAAAAAAAGGAAAAAAAAGTATCACAGACCAGAGTAAAGGCCATACCACAAAAAGTGAGAGAA